TGAGGCCTGGCTTGGAGAATTTTGAGCATTACTTTGCTAGCGTGTGAGATGAGTGCAATTGTGCAGCAGTTTGAGCATTCTTTGGGATTGTCTTTCTTTGGGACTGGAATGAAAACTGACCTTTTCCAGTCCTGTGGCCAGTGCTGAATTTTCCAAATTTGCTGGCATGTTGAGGGCAGCACTTTCACAGCATCGTCTTTTAGGATTTGAAATAGCTCAACTGGAATTCCATCACCTCCACTAGCTTTGTTTGTAGTGATGCTTCCTAAGGCCCACTTGACTTTGCATTCTTTTCACATTGTAGAGCTCGCCAAAATCTTCATCTCAGAAATGTTGCATTTGTTTTCCCTTCTACCTGGAATGTACTTCCCTGTGGCTGTTTGCATTGCCTGTTTCCTTAAGCTTCAGTTTCAACAACAGGTCTTTCTGCCCTACCCCTAAATTAATCTCTATCAGAGTAGCCAGTTAATTGCTTTCATAGTACTTTTAACTTATTTGTAATCATATATTAACTTGTTATCTTCCTCTTGACTATAAGCTCCATGAAATGGGGACCATTCTAATTCCCTCACCACTGTATAGTTAGTACCTAGCTTAATAGTAGCAAATACTTATAAAGCACTTATTAAGTGGCAGGCCCTAATAGTAAGTATTTTTTACAATTAATATATCCTCATAATAGCTCTATGGCACACATATTATTACCCCTCCTTTAGAGATGAGGAAACTGAGGCACTAAGAGGTTAAGCCTTTGTGCCCAAGGGTATAGTTAACAAGCCATAGAACCTCAACTGAATCTATGCTCAAAGCTGAAAGATTATTCTCTTAAACATTATGCTACATGATCCTCAGAGTGACAGGTACGTGATGAGTCCTCAACAAATATTTGTTGCCAGAATGAAGGAAGGAGCCATAAAAAGATTAGTAAGTAGGATATAGGTGAAGGGTTGCCCAAACATTCAAGAGATAGTGAGGGGCTGGGGACAGCTGGTCCTTTTTTATATCTTCCCTTGGGGTTCAATGAACCATTGAAGCTATACTGCTGAAGCTGGAGTGATATCTTGCACAGGTCTACCTAGACCTACTTTGTAAATCTCAGCATAATGTGGATAAAGAGGGAAATTCTCTCCTTAATCCATACAGAAACTTACTTAAAGATACCTTTAAGTACTATTAATCAATAAGAATCAGAATTTTTAATTGTTAATAATATAAAAATATTTTACAAATGACACTGAATATTTTAGTAAAATATAAAAATTAGACTTATTTATTATGTGCAAATGGATTTCATAACAAAATGACTCCCATAAATGGCATTCATTAGAATGACTTTTATGGAGAAAGGTCGAATAGCTTTGTAAGCTGGGACCAACGTATCATGCTCAAAGCCACAAACACAATCTAGGGAATTTGACAGAACTTCCCTGGCTTAACAATGGTAAAGAACTCTATAGGAAACTTTGCTATGGAGCTCTAACAATGGCGTTACACGAAATGAAAACAAATCCACAAAAACTGATACCTCTTCAAAATAAAGTTGACCTCGGAGGAAATATGCCATAGTATCCCCTCTTCTTATCCTTTCCTTTAAGAGCTGCAAAGCCTTATCCACCAAATCAGCATGGCTGTAATGATCTGGTTTTTTAAAAAGCAAAGAATTCCATCTTTACCCATACAATGTGAATTTCTTCTCTTAAAGTAATAAAGTATATAGAATTCATCTGACACTGTTTACACTGGTTTCCTTCCTAGTTCTCATTCCTAAAACTGACCTCCTTAGTTCAAGGAAAAAGCTTCACCTTAGAAGAAAGAAAGCACTATCACAATACCAGACATTGTACCTTACGTAATTAAGAAGTACACTGGTGGGCTTTCACACCAACCCTCTTTCCTACTAGGCAGGAGCTCCAGCCATGTAGTCTGTGTGGAATTCTTTAGACAAAGCTGGCCTCTGTGTGAAATTCTTAATTTCAGTCTTAATTAGAACTAGTCTAACTAAATGTGCTAACCATCCCCAATTTAATTTTTTTTAGGTCTATAGAAAAAGAAATGGTAGCTTTAAATGCCTATTTCAAATAAAGTATAATACTGTCCTCTCTAACAGAAGTGACATCTGGCTTCTTTTTTCGAGAAGGGTGTTCTAAAGTCCTGAGAGTAAAACCAGGAGCAGGATCTCATGATGAAACTTCTTCACTGATGATCTGCTACCAGATAAGCTGGGTAGCAATTCCACAGATTTTTACAGAAAAGCTAGAAAGGACTGTAAACTTAACCATTTCCTTGCCGCAATAAGACCCATATTTCCTGTCTCTTTTGCTCTGGTGTACGTAATTAACATTTAGTGAAAATATTGTCAGGACTTGTACCAGTCTCTTCCTTTCTCCACTAGAAGAATTAACCACTTCTTTGCCAGCAATAAGACTCATATTTCTTGTCTCTTTTGCTCTGGTGTACATAATTAACTTTAAGTGAAAATACTATCAGGACTTGTACCAGTCTTTTCCTTTCTCCACTGGAAGACTTTTGTATTCTTAGCAGCGAAGTGGGATAGAGAAGTATAAGAGGGGTTCTTGGGCAACTTTTCACTGGTCAACTTCATCCTGTCTCCACAGGGGGTATTCTGTAAAAGAGAATAAAATAATAATACGGTAGAAATATCTTTCTCTAGGAAAATGCACCAAGAGATTCCATTTCCACTTGACAGAAAGAGCATCCTCCCCTCATCACTGAAGGATAGGGCACCAAACTACCAACTCTGGTATATGAGCATTCCTTCTTAGGAAACCAGGACCTTTCACAGCTACGAGAAGCACAGCCCTCATCCATGTCTGTTCCCACCACAAGGAGTCAATGATCAGAGCTATCTGCAAGTCCTCTCTGGCTGTGAAATCACATGCTCTAGCGAATCATGTCACCCACCACAGCTGCTGCCACTAGTAGGAATTGGTGACACTGCCCATAGATACAGTTCTGGTGCACCAGTACCTTCCCATTACCTCGTAACTGAAGCTCATCAAACTAATCCATTTTAAACGAAAGCACCTGTCTATTTTACCTGGGAATACACTTTATTTTAACTGTGTTGTTCAGTTTTATCTTTCCATCTGTATTGGGATTCCATGTTATACGGTGGATCACAGTTGAATGGAAAATCAGAGCCTTCATATAAAATGTAGAGGCCACCTAATGTGGGATGAAGGAGTCCAGGTTGGCCTAGGCTGGGGGTAATGAGACCGCAAACTCAGTTGTTGCTATGCTTTTGTGTTTACTCCATGGAATTCCACTATTACAGCATGCTCTCACCAATCAGAAACAAGCTTCCAGTAAAGCTTCCTGGTTGGTGGTGAAGAGAACTCAACAGACCTTTAGCATGACTGGAAAGCCACAATCATACAATTTTATGATACCATTTTGGGCAATAAATTGCTTTGTTTATGAGAAGGGAATGGCAACCCACTCCACTATGCTTGCTTGGAGAATTCCATGAAGAGAAGAGCCTGGCGAGCTACAGTCCATGGGGTCGCAAAGAGTCAGAAATGACTGAGCGACTAACACACACACAATGAGAATGAAGTGCAGAAAGGGAGATAAATCAGTATATCAGGGGAAAAAATCACCAAAGTATCTGTGATTTTGGAAGAGGCATTTAATTTTTTTAAGAGTTAATTTTCTCATCTGTAGTTTGGATTATAAATAGTTTGAACTAGAGGATTTAAAAATATCTGTTCCTAGATATGTAAACTTCTTGGATTATATGATTCCAAAAACCTATGGTTGTACTAATAAATATAGAAGTTTCCAGAGAACTTTAGGGTGAAGCAGTATTAGGTAAAGTATTTAGAAGAACTAAGACAACCCAAATACAATGATGTTCACAGCATGTCTGTTATCTCTGAATTGCCAGCATCTCGACTCTTGTGCTTTGGGGCCATGAGTAAGTAAATAAGGGTTACTTGAACACAAGTAAATTTGATAACCCAGGTAGCTACTAGGTGACTAACCTGGACAAAAGGGGTGATTCACCTCCCAGGAGGTATGGAGTGAGATTTCATCACACTACTCAGAGTAGCATGCAGTTTAAAATTTATGAATTATTTCCCATTTAATGTAATTTTCCATTTAATATTTTCAGACTATGACAGGCCTGTAAACCACAGGAACTGAAAATGCAGGTAACAGGGGACTACTGTAATTTCCTCTTTCTGTTTCAGGATCCCATAGTCATCATGTCTCCTTAGCTTCCTCTGGTCTATGACAGAGTCTCAGGTTTTCCTTGTTTTTAACAACTTTGACAGTTTTGTACTGGCCAGATATCCTGTAGAATGTTTCCCAATCAGGGTTTACCTGATATTTTACACATGGTTAGACTTGGGTTGTGGACTTTAGGGAAGATGCAGAGGTGAAGTATCTTTTCGGCAGACCATATCAAGGGTGCATGACTTATCGCTGATGATAATAACAAACACCTGACCAAGGCAGTGTTTCACAGGTTTTTTCACTGTGAAGTTACTTCTCCTCACTTCCCATATTCTGCTTTTTGGAAGCAAGTTATTATGCAGAGCCCACACTCAGAGGAGGATGGGGTGGGGTAAGGATTAACCTCTGCTTCCTGGAGTGAGGAATGTCTAAATGATGTGTTTGGCATGCTTTCGTAAAGAAAAGCTGTGTTTTTCCTTACTTCTTTCCTTCCTATCTATCCATCTTTATCAGTTATCTATTGGGTTGGCCAAAAAATCCACTTGGGTTTTTTCATAAGATGTTACAGAAAAACCTGAACGAACTTTCTGACCAACCCAGTGTCTATTGTTTGTGCAGTATCCTGGAGCAGTAGTTGTTTAGAATAACTATATAATTTATCATCTTTTCCAAGAAGTTTGAGTAAGCAAGGCTGGGAGGGTTTATACAGTATAAACTAGACACAAGAATTTCTTTGTGGGAAATCCTTTTCCTCTTACATGTGCTAGTCATTCAGTGGTGTCTGACTCTTTGCAACCTCATGGACTCTTAATTCTCCAGGCTCCTCTGTCCATGTGATTTTCCAGGCAAGAACAGTGGAGTGGGCTGCCAGTTCCTTCTCCATTTACAATCATACTAGGATCATATATAGATTTCCTGACTGCCTATGGCAATGAAGGTCATAATTCTGTTGATTAGTTCAAGTCATTTTCAATCTGTGGATTTTTAAAAAAAAACTGTTAAAAATCAAAGACCATTTATTGAAATTCCAGCTTTGGCTATCATCTTCTGTCTTTGAAAGGTTTTCTTATTGCCGTGATATATTATCTTCAGTGTATGAGCTATAGAATTATATCTTCCACACATCTTTATTGGTAAGTAATATCTAGTTACTTTTAAGGCTCACTGGAATCTGGTCAACATTAATATAAATAACAGGGCACCTAGCTGGCAATAAATAAATGAAACATCATATTCAGATATGTCTGATGAATATTACTTGAATATGTTTGGAGGGTTATAAAATTCTCAAGAGATCTAAATAATACATGTGAAACCAAGTCAACTATTGAGATTTTTAGTTTTAGTTTATATTTCTTCATTTGCTTTAGAGCTAAAGTTTTCCATAGCATTATTGCTAAATGTATACAATGTAATTAAATATTATATAATAGTGATAAATGGGGATTAGAAGGTATTCCCAATTACTCTTCCTTTCAATGCTATGCATTTAGGGAATGTTTTCTAGTCATCTTTTTGGCCAATAAAGGCAAACAGGAAATAGATGAAATTAGCCTAATTCTAATTAGCCTGTCCACCAAATACTTTAATAATTTTCACCAACTGGCACACATTCATTCATTCATTGAAGAGGAACTCCTTGAATAGAAGGCATTGGACTAAGCACTGTGGGAGATTCAGTTCTAGAAACAAGGCTACATTAAGTCATCATTAAATCAACAGTGTTTTTCAATGGATTGTAGTAATGTTCACTGAGGACTTCATTTTGCTTCAAAGCAGTCAATCTTAGTAGCTTTGAACTACCAAAGATGACCACAATTCTTTAAAATATAGATATAAAAATGTGGGCTCTGGGGTCAAATTGCCTGAGTTCCAGCTCCACTCCTTAATAATGATGTGATCTTAGATAAGTTATAGAAATCTCCCTAAGTATCAGTTTCCTTTCCTATCTGTATTAACCACGGGGCACAGTAAGTGCCCAATTAATGTCAATGTACCACAACACAATAATACATTGGAATAGACATTAGTGGTCATTTAATATAATTTCTCATTTGTTTATCTTTATTTCACATCACTGCTATATGTGTAACATATATTGCAACCAGACTGAATTACACATAGTTCTCAACACTGGAAGATATTTAACACTTCTTATAAATTCTCTTCCTCTTCTGGATGACCTAGCAAACTCTTATCCTTCAAGTCTTAGTCCACACATCTTTCACTCGTTTGGTCACTTAATCATCATTCAACCTTTTTTAAAAAAAAAAAAAACACTCACTCTAAATGGTACCCTTCTGGAAACACAACTACCAGCAAATTACACATAAGTAGAAATGGTGATGCTTGGAAGAGTGACTATTCCATATGCTTCTTAGACCATCTACCACTTTGGAAAATTGATCCCACCTGCTCTATGTTCTGTAAAAACTCCAGTCCCTTGCCAGTAAGATACTGTCCCTCAGTGACTGACACACACACACACCCACACACACAAAGGTATAAATGAACTTAACTGACAAAAAAGAAGTAGATAACAGATTTAGAAAACAGACTTATGGTTACCAGGGGATAACTGAGGAAGGGATAAATTGGGAGATGGGGCTTGTCGTACACACACACTACTATATATAAAATAGATAATAAAGAACCTACTGCATAGAACAGGGAACTCCACTCAAATACTTTTTAATGGCCCATGTGGAAAAAGAAACAAAAAAAGAGTGGATATCTGTATAACTGATTTACTTTGCTGTATACCTAACACAATATTGTTATAACACTGTATACTGCGACTAACACAATATTGTGAATCAACCATACTCCAATAAAAATTTTTAAAAAAGAAAAAAACAACAAAAAAGAAAAACAAAAAATATAGTTCTCCGAATGTATTTATTCTGTATACTTCTGTACTCCACCAGCTCTAATCAGTTTTCAGAAAGCTTTTAGGCCCATTTCTAAGAGTAAATCAGATACTTAGCTGAGACATAAAGAGTTGTTTGGAAACATTATCAGCAATGGACAAGTATGCAGTGATTAAAGGGACAAATGCTTTAAAAACTACTCACAAAATTCCCTTTCCTTGTGACATTTAAATATGTCACAGGAAGTTAACAATAATTACCAGATTTAATGCATGCTGAACAGAATCTTGTTTTCAAGAAAAAGGATGTATTGTGGAGGTATATGGATCACACAAACATCCCATTTCACATGTTAACTGCAAAACACGTTTTAGAACTCTAAGAACTTCTTTGATGACACCTTGTATTAGTTAGGAATTCTTGAAAATGAACACGTGCAAACTTGAAGCTTAATTATATGCTTTGAAAAATAGTGCTTATCTAGATGAAAAACACAAGGAAAACTGGCAATATGGACATGTGTTCTCATATATCTCTGACATTCTTTAAACAGCATTAAAAGTACTGTGAATAGTTTAAATTTTAAAAAAAGAACACAAGCACAATTCTATACATGTTTGAATATAAGTGTGTGTGTGTATATCTATATGTTTATGTTTAAATACACATATAAACAAAGATGTTTAAAACTACCCCTTTCAAACAAAAGAAAAGAGAATTTTGCTCACCAAGTCTTTGAGGCAAGGCACAGGATGCTTCAGATGAAGAGATTAAAGTGATAACAGGAGGTGCACTCAGTGCTTCAGACAGAGGAAATAAAAGATGAAAAGGGGATGCTCTGTCCTTTGGACAAACAGGCCCTTAGTTAAATGCATTTCCCGAAGAATTTTAATGAACTCTGTTTTCCATACACAGAAAAGCACTATAATCATTAACTTGGAATATTTGTTCTTTGTAACTAGCAGTGATCTTTTACCAAAATACATGTTGACTGCATGTATTCCCTAACATAAAAAAAAAAAATCACATATAAACTAGCTTCCCCACCCCCACCTCTTTGGAGTAGTTCCTCAGTGCTATCTGAAAGCTGTCTCTGGGGTTACAGTTCTCAGTAAAACCCCGAATAAACTTTAACTCACACCTCTCATGCTGCACATTTTTCTCTAAGTTGACACCTTGGATCAACTGTATAAATCTAGTAATATAAATTACTACAAAATTAATTTATGGCTCTTATTACAAAATAAACAAGAAACTGTAACCAAAATTAGAACAAAAAGGCCACCCATCTATCTTCAGAGGACAGAGCTTGTTCTCCAAAAACAGAATAAACTTTCAGTCTTGCTCTCAAAAGGTACCATCACATAGAGGGGAACAGGTTAAGATATTAGGGAAAATAAATACATGGTTGGAACTTTAGCTTTTAGCTAGATTAACCTGGGGAGGAAGAAAAAAAGTGCTTAGGAACTGTCCAGAGATAAACTACAGGGTCAGTGGCTATGGCTTTGAAGTCAGGATGTCTTGTTTCTACAGTTTTCGTTTATCCACTGACTCCTCGCGACGAGTGCGGGGCTCCAGTCTCAGCAAGCTCAGAGCTAAGAGCTGGGACCACCGTTTCCCCAGGCGACAAGTCCAGCACTGTGCCTGACCTGTCTCTCAGGGGCCACATTACAATAGCGGGCTCACTTTACGTCACTCCCGGAGACGGCATTGTGTCATTTTGGGGTGTGGGTGAAGCAGTCCTGTGGGAAAACCTAGCCCCTTAGCTCACCTTAGCCGCCCCTCCACCACCACCCCTACCCCCCACACCCTCTCAAGCTCCAGCTTTCCTAAATGTCCAGGGCCTGAGGGACAGAGGCAAGCCTGGGACGGCTTTGAACACGGTGACTCAGAAGGAACTTTCTTTCCTCAGGAGCCAGAGGCTGGGGCCGCAGGGGGCCAGCACCAAGTGCAGTAGCAGCTTCCAAAGGTTGCGTTGCCGCCCAGGATCCTGGTTGCGCCTCCGTTTCCTGGTTACGTGCGCGCCAGCAGAAACCAAAACCTCCACCCGCGACTTCCGCTTCCCCAAAGGGACTAATGAGCTGGGCACAAGCAGCGTGAGACGTGCCGAACTCTGAGCGCCTCATGGCGGCGGGTGAAACCCAGCAGTCCTGACGCTGGTCCTTCATGGCGCACGCGCAACGGAGCCTGGGCGGAACGGCCCCAGGGCTCCGCCCCGAGGTGGGCGAGCCTGACACCTCCCCTTGACCAATCAGCTGGCGCATCCTCGCTGCTCTCCCCCTCCCCCCCGCCCCCGCCAGCCTCACTGGCTCCAGGTTACACGTGCTAGTGTTTGTGTACGTGCGGCTGCTGCTGGGCGGAGAAAGGCGGGCCGCCTAGGGTTGGGCTGCTCGGGCCGAGCCGCAGCTGGGGCACGGCGGGAGGGGCTGGCCCCCTGGCTCTGGTGATTTTTTAAATTCTCGGGCTCTCGGACGGGCTGTCCACTCTTAACCTGTCCGTCTGCAGCGAGTGCCGCACTGCTCAGCTCTCCCAAGGACTCCTGTCCTCTACTTTAGGCGGGAGATGCTGCTGCTCGATTGCAACCCAGAGGTGAGACTCAGGCTGCTTTGGTCAGGCAGGCTTAAGCTTCCAGATGTCTGTCTTCTAGAGAGGGCTAGATAGGGTGCGGGTGTACTGACCACTTGGCGCTGCCAAGTCAAGCCTCTTCAGAGTTGGAAGGTTTTTGGAGTGGTGGAGGATTTCGATCCCCGGAGAGGAGCCTGGACAAAGGCGAGAAGGGGTGCTGGAGCTGTTCTTTTCTCGCAGGTGGATAGTCTGAAGCATCTGCTGGAGACCGGGGCCTCCGTCAACGCACCCCCGGATCCTTGCGAGCAGTCGCCTGTCCACTTGGCTGCAGGTGGCGGCCTTGCTTGCTTTCTTCTCTGGCAGCTGCAGACGGGCGCTGACCTCAACCAGCAGGTAACTAGGCAACTGATTGTTGCTGTGTGCAAACCTCCCCTTCACCCCAAATCCACACATTTCTTAGACGCCAAGGTATTCAGTCGTTTCAGTTATTAGAAACATGACTAGCACAGCGATGCCCATAAAGTGTGAGACACTATGTAACTTTACAATTTTCCAGTAGCCACATTAATGAAGTGAAACATTTTAGCAAACTAACCCAATTAATCAAAAATATTATCATTTCATGTGTAATCAATATAAAACATAACTGATATCTCTCTATATATATCTATTGGATATGCCTTCTCACCCTCTGTGTATTTTACATTGACAGCACATTTCAATTCAGACTAGCCACATTTCAGGTGCTCATTAGCCGGATAGATGGCTGCTGGCTAATACATCGGACGTTTCCAAGGTCTACTGTTCATTTCCAAAGGAACAACTGCTCCATTACAAAATTAAGTCTCAGGGTAGCACAACTTGTAAGACATGCTCACAATCAATGTAATTCCTTACAGAACTTTCTTAGGGTAGTTTGCATCTTCCATTGAATGTTAAATTTTAAATTGTAATTTTTACTTCTGTAGGATTCTATTTTGCTTTTAATCACTTAAAATTTACTGTATGTATGTAGCTGTGACTGCATATTTTATTAATGACAATTCTATATTTAATAGGGCACCAAGTGAACTTTATTTTAAAAAAGAATTTAAAAAATTCAGTCCAGTACAATGCAGTTCTAACCCTACTTCCTCAAGCATCAATTTCCACAAGAGTGTTTTGGGGAGATACTAAAATATGCTGTCTTGTATGTAAGGATGTTTTTGGAGAAGCTCCCCTACACAAGGCAGCAAGAGTTGGAAGCATGGAATGCCTCAGCCTGCTTGTAGCCAGTGATGCCCAAATTGAGTGAGTATGGAGTCAGTGACTTCAAATTTTATATTTTCTTGGGTTAATCAGACTCCTGCAGCTCAATTACATGATGCTTGCCTAATTGATAATGTAGTGGAACCATTTAAATGTTAGGCTGTTAATGATTATCTGATACTATTCGAGTAAATTAAAAAATGGATCCTAAGCAATCCAAGGTGCAGTTGATGTGTCATGGCAGTATTACATCTCAGTTTTGTTTTAAAAAATCCAGATGTTCTCACTGACTTCCTTGGTGTACTCACTCATTGTACTGAAAACAGAATACTCTTCTATTTGTGCAGAAATGAAGTACCATTCTGTGCTGTCCTCTGTGCTAATTAAGGACAAATAGCGAGCAAACATGGAGTTCCTCTATGCTTCCTTTACCTCTTTTATTCTGCAACCAACATTTGTATGATCCCAAAGCACCTTTGTTAGAAATATACTTTAAAAAGGCTAAACAACTGTCAACTTTTACTTGAATACTTTTTTTTTTTGTCTTAAACTTAGTTTATGTAATAAGAATGGGCAAACAGCTGAAGATCTTGCTTGGTCATGTGGATTTCCAGAATGTGCCAAGTTTCTTACAACAATTAAATGCATGCAGACAATAAAATCAAGGGAACAACCCAGTAAATATCATTGTGTTCAAGTGCTCAGACAGAAACGAAGTTTTGGAAGTGAAGAAAATACAAATGGGAAAAGGAAGTGTTGGTAAGTAATTCAGTTTCTTCATTCTTCCTCCCTTAAGGATCTCTTATTTAAAACAGAATTTATTGTTTCGTTTAAATATCACCAGTCTTATGTCTTGTATATCTTTTCATTCTCATTAACACATTTTAATACTGGATGTAGTAACTACTACTAGACTTTAGAGACCAAAAATTGTCCTGCATGGTGGAAGATTGGGGAGAAAACCTTTTTAAAAAAAGGTTTTAATGTTAATATGTATTTCAATAACAGATGTATTGGTCATGAAGAGGTGTGGAGAAGGTCTTCACTTAATGCAGGTCTACCGCTCAGCTACGAGCTGTGGCTTCTGGCTCATCAAGTGTGTCTAAACTCCTTCTAAGAAGGAGGAAACCTTTCTTCTAAGTGAAGATAACATTCAAGAATACATGTATTTACATGCCTATAATGTTCTGGTCGTGCACGCTTTGTCTCGTAACTTATTAAAAGAATGTCTAGAGAATAAATTGTTTTCTTTGTGATATTTACCACCTTTGGAAAAACTCATAAAAACCATCAAACCACCCCCAGGATTTAATTTGAAATCAAATTTATTCTTTATCAACAAAGTTACAACTTTACTACAGTCTGTAAGTCCAAGATATTTTAAATAGTATTTGGTCGCTGAGGGAGACATAAGTTATAGTAAGCATCCTTGTTCCAAAATTCTGGGCCCTTCCATCCACACCAGCCCTAGATGTGGGAGAAGGGAAAGGAAAACCTTTTACAAAGTTATAGGACTATATAATTGAAATGGTAACATTTTACAACTGAATCTTGCAGTAAGACTATAAATACCTATACAATGCAAGTATCTGAATTCCTATTAAGCACAGAAAAGTAGCTTATTTGGGTTCACTTCAGATAGAATTTTAAAAATTTTAATTCTATGATATTTAATCATAGAAATCATTTAAAAAAGGAAAAGCTTCATTACGGTACTATTACTCAATGTCATATTTTATTGATTTTTAAGATGTATGGTTTTATCATTCTGGTAGTCGATGGCAGGTGATAATTTAACTGCCATCTGTCCCATGGAAGACTGTATAGACAGTGAGAAAGGCTATGGGCCTTTTCATTAAAAGTGGGCCTCCCCAGCCACTGATTTCCCAGCAGTGGCATCTCAGCAGTGATACGAGGTAGTCAAGGAATCTGAACTTGCCCTTGGGAGTTGCATTCTACATTCTTCATTTTCCTCAGGCTGTAATCACTGCCACTTCCCAGTTTCATGTCAGTATTTTTTCCAGCAGAGAAAATTTCTTTCAAACAACATTTCATTGGGAATATAGTTAAGTGCATCAAATTTCTTCTAGGGCCATTAATTTATTTTCTTAAAGACCCAGCTAATGACTTGTCTGAGTTACATCATTCTGAAATGAAACGCTTGCTTACACATACTTGTTCAGAGGTTAGTGAGGACTCAAAATGCCATTGCGTTGAGTGACAGGCAGTGAGTGGTCTTGCTCCTTTACCCTACCTAACTGGGAGTGGAGTGTGTGAGTGCGTGCTCAGTCATGACCTACTCTTGTGACCCCATGGACTACAGCCAGTACCTGGCCCCTCTGTCCGTGGGATTTTTCAGGCAAGAGTACTGGAGTGGGTTGCCATTTCCTCCTCCAGAGGATCTTCCCAACCCAGAGATGGAACCCGAGTCTCCTGTGTCTCCTGCATTGGCAGGCAAATTCTTTACCACTTAAGTCATCAGGGAAGCCCACCTAACTAGGAGGCTGCTGGGCATTCTGACAGGGACCTAAAGTCAAAGGTCAGAGTTCCTACCGAGGAAGATGGTATGTTGCCTGTTTTTCAGTGTGGGGGGCAGAGGGTTGAGTAGAGATGCTCTTTAGGTCTTTATTCTTTTTCTGATTGCAAAAATAAGATACACACAAAAAAATTCAAATGAGGTCAAAGTAAAAATTAAAAAATCTTCTACGAGTTCTGCTCCCCCTGCCTACAGATACCACCATTAAGTCTGGTTTATTTCCATTGAGAGTCGTTTCTTTACATAAAATTCTTTTTATCATCTCATTTTTTCAGTAAAACTTTCACTAATGAATTTCATGTCCTAAAATCTGTTTTCTCAACGATAGAAAAAGGTTTATACTTCTGTTTTGATCTTTCACACATATGGGCCGTCTCTAGGTAACTGGTCTCAAAGTTTTTTCAAGAGAAGTGGGTAGAGACGGCGCCCAAACTAGAAACTGGGAGTAAGTAGAGGAGCCGGACATCTTTCTTTTGAGGTGACTGACTTAGGGAACTCACACAGGAAAGCTCCCCAAGTGGGCAGAGAGAGGTCAGGCAGAGGGAGGACTGTCCCTCCAGGCCCCTGCCACAGACTGAATGTGTCTAAGGCTTGTATGATGAACCCTAATCTCCAATGTGCTGGCATCTGGAAGCGGGGCCTCTGGGAGTTGACTGGGTTATGACAATACAGCCATCATTAAAGAGTGCCCAGACAGCTCCCTCATCCCTTACATCATGGGACCGTGAGAAAGCCTGCCGTCTTTGAACTAGAAGGTGGGCTTCACCACCCACAGATCAGCCAGCACCTCCATCCTGGATTTCCCAGCCTCCAGAACTCTGAGAAAGAAACCTCTGCTACTATAAGCCGCCCCCTCTACCGTGTTCTGTTACAGCAGCTCTAAGGCTTCTCACAGCCTTTAAGATAAAGTCTGAACGCGTGCGTCTCAGCCTGGCTCTCAGTGGCCATCCTGACTTAGCTCCTGCAGATCCCTCTAGCCATCAGTCACCCCTCTCCACCAGCTCAAGTCATGTTAAAAATGCCACAGTTCTCAGAACATGCCCAGCTTTCCTTTCACTGACTTTTGAGTGATCCCTTTGCAGGGACAGTCTTGTAAGCGCCACCAAAGATACCATATTTTTTGGGGGAAGCAGTCCTTTATGGACTCCCCTTCTTTGTCTTTCTATACTAGACAAAGAGCTCTTTAAAGATCCATTTTAATACTCCGGTGCTTAGGATAGTGGATGGTAAATATTAGGTACTTAATGAATGTCCAATGAATGAACACCTTGCTACAGAAAGACAGTCAATATTGCTCCTATTTTCAGGAAGATACGTATACCAGCCAAAAACATGTCATAGACTTAGAAGTCCAAATGCCTTCAAAGAGAAAATTTTGTGTATGTGGTGTTTAAAATTTTAAGAATGTGTTTATATCCTGTTATTATTTATAGATGCTCCAATAATTGACAATAGACTTTACTAAAGTGGGGATATGAGAGTTCAGCTACGTAAAACAGCAAGAACTCTCACAAACGTCTCATT